AATGGAACTAGTGCCAGGTTTTACTGTATTGTGTTAGACACGAAGAGAAAATTTAAAGAAAAAAATTGGAGCTGTGGTTGTGAAAATAATTGTTTAAAAATTGCGTGTATTTCACTCAAAATATTTATGTTTTAGTAAAATTGTACATGACGTTATTTTATAATATCTCTTTGAAGAATAGAGAAGGTTTAAGTGGATAAATCTTGTTTCTATACGTGGTAAATTACTTCACCAATACGTTATTTAGTCAGATTATTGTAATAAGAAGATGCCCAAAAAGTTGTTGAACTTTTGCAGTTTTTCAAAATTTAGAGTTCTACGAAACTTGCGTCATTTCTAAGACCTGTGACATTACTTTGCGTGATTCTGCGGTCAGATTGTTTTACAGTAAATAGGACCTAAAAATCGTGGATTCTTATTTCTGAGTGTTTTCAGGGGGGAAATAGACGGATTTACACAACATAGTATTATAATTTTCTAAACACTCAGAATTTGATGTGAAGCAATGAAATTTTGTAGTCTTAAGAAATATGTGTGTAAAAAAATAATGATTATTAATTTTTGTAAAAGAAAGTAAATTGTTTCTAATAAACACATTCAAAATTTTTAATATTTAACATTACACAGGCTCGCTTTTCTTGAAAACCAATCAAATTAAAAAATTTGAAATTTTGCAAAACTGCTCCTGAAATACAAGTAAACAATAAAGTCTAAAGAAATTTTGGCATTAATTATAGTTTTTTAAATATTAATTATTGAATTCGTGTCATATTATTGGATGCAAAATTTTCAGTTTAATATATCACTAAACAATATTTTTAAAAAACACAACAAAAATATCCTTTTTAAAAAAACCTATTTTCAAAACAACATGCAAACACACGTTTATATTGCGGGAAATGAACACAGGTTTCTAAAACAGCAGATTTTCGAATGCCTGTCAAACAAAAGCTCTATGCCTCCGCCTTTTAACGTGGCCGCCTGCCGGAATGGTATTTAATTTTTAAAGGTCTTACCGCGATCTGATTTGTCGATATTTTGAGAGAATATACTAAAAACTATAGGGGATATGAGAATAAAAACTGAATACATTTGCCTATATTCCGCCTTCATCTCCCTACTACATTGCTACTACTAATTTACTACATATAAAAAATGTTATTCCCTTTTTGAAGCCAGGGCTGCACAATACAATTTTGTGTCCAGAAATCACCTTGTTTTGGCCACATTACATTCCCCCCTCTTTACTGCGTAAGTACGTAGTATAGATTTTAAATAAGATATAGCAGGCAATAAAACAAAAAAATTAAAAAGAACGCGCTCATTTCGGCGAGAAATAAACCATCCTTCCGGTATATTTTGTTTAGTTTCCTTATCGGATGCTTTTTTCAAGCTGTCATAAAAAGAAAACCGTTTCATATTGTAAAGTACAACTGTTGCTCCTGACTTCAAGAACATTTGTCATACGCTTTAACGTCTCTCCATTAGTGGAGTACACGTCGCGCATACAACAGATGCTTTAGGTAACCTCCCACGTACAAATCAAATGTACCGAACTCGAGGGACCTTGCTGGCCAGTTTTGTTTTTCACCCCACCAATCCATCTTCGCGGATGCTTCGAATACAGGAGTCGCGGCAGCTTCCTTAGCGCGAGACAGCGCTCCAGCTCGCTAGAAATAGAGGGAAGATCGTACAGAGGCACAACATCACACAGATAAGCCTGTTCTCTCTTTGAGAACCTTAAGTACACGTCTCCGTAAACCGTTTCATCAGGGATGCGCCGGCCTATAATTTTGTCTTCCGGACTTCCGCACTGCGTATTCCAGGAATATTGGGCTTGGAATCTACTTTCCTGTGTGGTATATTGGTCACAGACCCCTCATAAAAACGGGTTTCAAGATTCACTTATTATTTTATATGAATACAGCGTTTAAGTGTAAATGTTTTTATTCTATTTCATGTCAACAAATGAGATAAAACTGTGTGTGACGTAGCATAGGGAGACGTGGAATCTGTGTACGGATTCTTCAGCTCAATGATTTCAACTTAATTTATATTGAATTGAATTACAGTCCCACGTAACAACAAATGTTTTTAGTCTAAAATTAGATTAATCTTGTTCTTGTATAAAATAAATTACTTTCTCTAACACGTCTTGTAGAGACAGTCGTGTCTTGTAATCCAAATTTTGTAGATCCTTAATACCCAAAAAGCGAACTCAAGGTTATCCAAGTCTGTCACAGATGTTTTAATATTCGAGATACTTTACCCGAAACTTCAATTACATTTTTCAAAGTTTCTGAAAAAGTCTCCAAACTGTTAAATTGAACTTTGTCCTCGGATAGCTTTAAAGAATGGCGTCGGTCTCATTTTTTCGTCCCTGTATTTTCGAAAATACCAAAAATTAAAATTGTTTCTACTACTACAATATTGAAGGCAGATATGTTTAACGCAATAAAATTTGATCTTCAAACACAGATCTTGAAGTAATGTCATATACAATTTTTCGAAAACATGAGTAGTTTTCGCGTGACTGCTTGAAATTTAGGCAATTTTTCAGCAATGAATTTCTGAAAAAGGCTCCAATTTTTTCTTCATGTTTTCTCCTCATATGTAAAGGTAAAAAATAGTGGTAGAATCATTTCCGGAAAACGTCATTTCCGTAGTTTTGAAAATTGCACAAAAGTAACATTGCAAAACTACAAGTCTAAAGATGGAAAATTTTGTCTTAAATACAATCTGTTCTAAAAAATCAGGTGTTAAAAATACCATGTACAAGTATTTTAAAAATATTTTTGCGTAATTTCTGCTTAGAGTTAATGATAAATAAAAAAAACACTTTTTCTCAAAAACTACTCCAATTTTTTCATTAAACTGTTTCCAGGGATAGAAAAGGGGATACTTAAAAGAATGGAGTAGGCATAATTTTCCTTGAACTCAATGAATTTTCGAAAATTGCAAAAGGTAAATGTAATGCGAGAAAGTAGTGCCACTAGTTTCAAATGTGTCCGAATGTACGGGAAAAATTAAAGTTAACTTGTGTTATTTTATTTGAGAAAAGCTTCACAAAGGGAATTCTATAAAGCATACAAATTGAGCGTAGGATTGGAGAGCTCGTTTATCTGTAAATTATTTCTGTTTGTGGTACGACAACGGAAGTTTAAAAAATAATTTATCTAAAATACGATGTGATAAAATGTAATATATATGTTATTTCTACAAATAGTTCAATTAAAAAATCAGTTCCAAATTCTAATATATATTTTGAGTCATGACTCAAACATTTTACGTAGGTATTCGATGGAAGACGAAAATGTTAGTACAAGATGACTTCAGTTTTATTCTTTTTTTAAAATATAAATATAGTTTTAGTATTTCTATTACAGAGAAGACAAGAACGTTAGAGATCCGGATATAATAGTATACTTTTTTGGCGTATAATCCAACTCGGACCACGCGTGCATCCTGCGTCAGCAATGCAAGTACAATTATCTGGGGGCGGGGGAATCAGCATTTAGTTGAACCCCGATTTTTATCCCCCAAGGTTGTCAGCCCGGGGGTATGACCGTTGAGACGATGATGATGATGATGATGATAGTGAGGGATGAAAATATGTCACACACTTATAGACATATGTACACTTATACATGAATACACCCATGCCCGAGGCGGGACACGAACCCGCGGTACTGGGGCACTACTGCTCTATCGATCTCGGCCATCTTGGCTATCACACGCTCTCCTGAAATACGAAAAGGAATTTACAAAATGAATTTGGCTGTTTCTTGTAGGGGAAAGGTCTTCACAGTGAAAATTCTATATTAAAAGGCGAGTCAAATGCCGTTTGAAGTTCACAAATGGGACCATTTGTTCAAACGTTATGACATTTTTGCTTATTTTGGAGCTGCCACGTGGAGGCGACAAATTCAACTAGTATCGGTACATTTCGTATCTACAAAAAAGTGTCATGGCACTAGGCATTACAGCATTCCAAAAACATTACTCTCAAGAAGGACAAAATGTCTAAAATCTATTCAGAATTTGAAGCTATTTATTTCAAAACAATTGGTGGATAAATGAGAATAATATCTTAACTTTTTGTAAAATTATTAATGGGATTGGGGCAGTAAGAAGACAAGCTAAACCAGCCCCAGCAAGTCTTCCGCTATACATTAATGTTAATATCTCGATTTTCGTCTTAGTGTGTCACATCTTGTTACTATCCCTTCATGAATATGAATAAGACTTATATAGTAACAAGTGAAGTTACATTTCGAACAAAATAAAAATAACCTTAACGAATATCAGGAGGCACTTCGTGGCTGGTGTGGCTTATCATGTTACTGCCCCAAGCTCTTCAAATGCTCCCTATTCCGGGCGGTGACCGGGAGAGATGGCCCAGGACATCAACTGATGTCACTGCAGTCCATATGACCGGGAGGGCCTAGGTTCGAGTCCCGACGGTGGCAGGGTTTTTCCTCACTAGTTTGTCAGCCAGCACGAATTCAGTCGCTGTCTGGAGGAGAATTCTAGAGGCCGGCTGCTCTGATCGGTATTTTTGCGTGATTTCTCCGATCAATACCACGCGAATGCGGGAGCAGTACCCTAACAAACTGGCCACGGACCGCGCGCTATCTTTCCTACCTCTTCCTTGTCCTATCGACACCCCTTTCACACACACTACCATGCACTACACAAGCACGCATGCCGAGAGACCGGTCGAGAGCCTAGAGCTTGTCCCGGCTGGTGCGGTGCCCCCTAGTGGGAGATACCTAGTTGGGGAAAACCCCGCTAGCCGACGGTAGTTCGGCGCCGGATCTTGCCATGTACCTGGGGAAGACCACAGCCATCGCCAGAGCAAAAACATGCACTTCACTTACGGGAGAAATGACGTTAGTAGTTGGCGCTCCCGTCATCACCAACGATCTGAGATGCGAGCGCGTGGTGTGCGGCACAGGGCCCGGCTGCCAGGCGGCGGGCTTCCTCACCGTGTTCGCCAGCCAGCTGTCCGTGTACACGCTGGCCGTGCTGACGCTGGAGCGCTGGGTGGCCATCACGTACGCGCTCTACCTCAACAAGCGGCTCAAGCTGCGCGCCGCCGTCTACATCATGGCCGCGGGCTGGGCCTACGCGCTCGGCATGGCCGCGCTGCCGCTGCTGGGCGTCAGCAGCTACGCCACCACCAGGTACGCAGCGCCCAGGCGCCGGCTCACCAGCGGAGGTCACGAGGTGCGGAGCAGAGGAGGAGGGGGAGGCGACCACAACTCCGGGATACCATGTTTCTTTCTTCTCAAATTGTAAAAAAAAATGCGAAATAATACGTGAAAATAGAAAAAAAACCCACAGAAAGTGCAAAAGAACCCTTAGTAACTGCAATCCAACCCATGTAAATTGAAATACCACCCCCAGAAAGTGTAAAACAACCCTTAGCAAGTGCACAAGAACCCTCAGTAACTGCAATCCAATCCTTGCCAACTGAATTACCACCCTCAGAAAGTGCGAAACAACCCTTAGCAAGTGCAAAACAACCTTTAGACAATACAAAACATTTCTTAACCACTACGAAACAACCCTTAGCAACTGCAAAACAACCCTTAGCAGCTGCAAAATAAGTCTTAACATCTGTGAAACAACCCGCAGCAACTGCAAAACAACCCTTAGCAGCTGCAAAACAACTCTTAGTAACTTCAAAACAATTCTAAGCAACTGCGGAACAACCCTTAGCAACTGCAAAACAACCCTTGGCAACTACTATACAACGCGTAGAGACACCATTCGACAACTGTTCATGCCGGCCGGAGATACATTTATTTACTGAAATAGGACAAAATTCGCTTAATAAAATGACGTAGTTTAGGTTTTCATTTCAACCTGCCATAATTTCAACTTTCGTTTTGAATATTCAGAAGCATTGTTCTCACTACATCGACGTGGAGGTCTATTGTATTAGTTCATTGCTAGCGAAACCTAACCTACGAGTTCGAATTCTAGCCAGGTTGAAGGTATTTTCTGCTTGGTAATACATTTGCGGGTTCAGTAGCATTATACTATGAAACTTTAAACTGATTTTGAAGCATCAGTGACATCATTCCCATGACGCTTAGTGGCGTTAGTATGGCAATGTAAATGTAAACCGATTTTTGAAATTCATGTAACCTTCAACGACAATTCTTTTCAATTCATCTTCTGGCATTTGCCACGTGATATGTGGTTCTGTGATTGCAGAATTATTTCACGCTATCAATTTTGTGATTGGAAGATTCTTAATCCCCGTACTCGGGAAAGTTCGGATGTCCGCATTGTATGTTTTGCTGCATTCGAAGATTTTATTAAATGTTTCAACTCTTCCAATATTACATTCATTGCAATCATGCTACTCGAATCTGCAAATATATTTCCAAGCAGCAAAAACCATCACCCGGGCTGGAATTTGAACCCGTAAGTTAGGTTTCGCAAACAATGAATGTAATATTGGATATAAGAATGTAAATGGGTCTGAAGACCATAGCAGTTGACTTGCTCGAAGACCTGAATCAATCAACTCAATAACACCACTTCCTCCTAGAGTCCCTTCGGTGTATAAGGGCGAATCTGTCTGTCTTACATGGGCTATTCAATTCGGAAATGTTTTTTTTTTTGATAATATAGTTAAAATGTAATTAATAGGAAATAATTGTGCCGTGTTAAAAGAAGCGTTAATCAGCGAAATATGCGATTATATATAATTTCCGGTCTTTATAAACATATTTTAAAAACATATTTTAAAACGGATCATTTACAAAAGCTCTTAAATAACTTTTCAAACCAAGCAGACGAAAGTTTGTGACTAGTTGATGTTGAAGGCACGGTTCGGGGGGATCGCAAGAAGTCCAAGCAGGGAAGCCCAAGGAGGGAGAATATGGCCGTCTCGTAAGGCAACACTCCTGACGCTGGCATATCGCAAACGACGTCCCATCAAGGGAGCTTTGAAGATACTACGCACTCCCTAGGTTGCCGACGTTACTTCTCCGAAACGACGCGTATACAACCTCTCCACAAATTATCTGACGTAGCTGATGCGTTTCCAACCTTGAAATGCTCTCCCTTGCCCCACGTTTTAGTTTGTATCTTCTTTAGCTTATATTCAAGGACGCCGGGTCCCCCCACCCCACCCGCGGAAAGGACTGTACTCTCAAAGTAGTGCTGCTAAAACGGCACGAACTTTCTCGCCCTTATTTTCACGCAAAATTATACAAAAAAGTACTCCAATTTTCGAAAAATTGTACATTACCTTATTTCAAAATTTCTCTTTACGGAACACATTTTATTAAGGAAAAAATCTCTTCCTTTAATATTTTAGTTGTAGGAAACTGAAATTTTGCAATTTTTCAAAAACTCAGGGTTATTAACTAACATGAGATGTTCAACATTCTCTTAAACGTCCTTCACACTACCCAAGAACAAAATTTAATAAAAAACGATGGAGACATCTTTTTTGAAATTTGAAAATTGTCCCAAAGGTTTCATGTAAAGTACTCCAAAAATTAAAATATCGGTTTCAAATTCTTCGATCAGCCAGATCGATTGGGGAATAACAATTTTGGAGAAAATCTTTCTAAATTTAGCAACTGGATGTATCCACGTTTTCGTTACCAGGACCCTGTAATAAGGCCTTTCTACCGAAAATTCGCTGTTTTTTCGCGCAACATTACGTAACTATCTCACCACTCCGTAACGAGAAAGTGAAAACAAACACGAGATTAAGTTTTATTTGAAATAAATATGTTTCCTTTTTCGTAATAATTATCTCCTAAACATTTTACTGACGTTGAATGTAGAGTAATCCTCCGTTAAGTCAATAATCGTCCGTTGAAGTCAGTCAGCGCCTTTTATCCCTTTGGCCAGGGGCTCGACCGTTCGTTAGCGTCGCCCGGGTTCCCAGACCGTCCCTTCTATGCATTGTGTGCATGCTGGTTGTGTGCATTGGTGTGCGCGTGCATTCTTTGCCTGCCGATTGGAGGCGTATAAGAATCCGTTGGAAGTCCAGCCAGTGCCTTTTATCCCCTTTGGCCTCTAGCGTCTCACGTCAGTTAGATCGCCCTGGTGGTTTGCCCAGACCGTCCTCTTCTTGCCATGTGTATGTGTGTGCTTTGGTGTGCGCTGGCATCTGTCTGTGCCGATGGAGGCGTCCGTTGTTCCGAGTTCCAGGTCAGTTGCCTTTTATCCCTTTGGCCAGGGTCTCGACGTCGGCGTTAGATCGGCCCGGGCGTGCCCAGGACCGTCCTATGCGTGTACATTGGTGTGCGCAGCATCTGCCTGCCGATGGAGGCGTCCGATTGAGTCAGTCAGCGGCCTTTTATCCCCTTGGCCAGGGTCCGACGTCGTTAGGGTCGCCCCGGGGTTCCCCAGACCGTCCTCTTCTTGACATGTATATGTGTGCCATTGGTGTGGCGCCGCAGCATCTGCCTTAGCCAATGGAGCGTCGCCGCGGCGCGGACGTTGCCTACCTGTTTTTTTTTCCGTCCGGAGGGGCTTTTGGGGCTCTTTGGGCGGGGGTCGCCGGGGACGCGCTGGCCCTTCGGCGCCGTCGTGGTGTGCTACCGTGTGCCGCAGTGTTTACCTGCTCGCTGGGCGCGACACGCGGCGCAGCGCCATGCGGCGCGGGGAGGCTGACGGTGGCAAGCGGATGGCGCTGCTGGTGGTTCACCTTACTTCCGCGTGCTGGGGCGCCCATCTCCTTCTTCGCGCTGACGCCGGCGCGCGGCTTACCCGCTCATCGAGTTGATGCGATCCAAGCGATCCTGCTCTCCTTCCTTCTACCCCGCTCAACTCGTGCGCCAACCCGTACCTTACGCGTTTGCTCACCAAGCAGTACCGCCGGGATTGTTGCGCGCGCTGCTCGCCAGTGTTGAGTGCCGCCAACCTTGCAAAAACATGGCCCACACAGCATAGAATGGGCTCACTACCCTGCCGCGCCCCCGCCTGAATGCCCACCAGCCTGTCCGCCCGTCATTTTCCCCGACTGCCAAGTGCACGCCCACCAATCGGCCTTCCCGCCAGCCATACTGCCCGTCCGCCTGACTGTCTACCAATTTGCTCACCGGTCAGTCTGCCCGCCTTAATGCTCAAACGTACGTATCGCCGCAAAAGTATGCCCGCCCTAATGCCCGCCTGCCCGCATTTCATGCAAAGGGTTTCGGACAAACAACTACCACGTTTTTTGGCATATTTATATACCAATTATATTTAGTATATTTATATACCAATTATAACATAATAAAGAAAGAGTAAGAAAATGATTATTTTGTGACGTATAATTAAAATTTATTTCTGACGTTTATCATTGTAATGATGGAGACACTTTTCGAATCGGTGGAACAGTTTTCCTATACCCTATTTATAGCCCGCGTGTTGAAATTGGAGGGCTCAGGCGCGTCTTAATACTCGTCGTTGGTGCTGTTGAGTTCTCCTTTTTTAAAATTTGTTGCTTCTACATAGACTCAACACGTCTCCTAGGTCCTTAAGGAGATTTGGAGTAATCCTCTGTTATAATGCTCCCTCTAGGGCCCGCTGTGATTGTCAAGTCACGTCAAATAATCGCCGACAGGTAGAGCTCGTGTCCCATGCACGCCCTGCGTCATCTACCCATCGACCAGAATTGGGAAGGAATAAGGCTAGGGTAAGGTTTAGGACGCTTCACAGGCGATGGACTAGCCTCAGGCAAAGTAGTTTTGTCGTAACAAATTTCACAAGGGGATTCTACGGGAATCGAACCCTGAACCTCAGTGGTGAAAGGTAAGCGACTTCGCCACTGAGTCACTATTTTCTTAAGGTTAGCCATTTATTTCTTAAGATTGTCCTTTTTTTAGACATATCCTTCAATATATGTTTCTCAAACATCGCTATTGTGCGTGTGTTGATTTTTTATACTCTGATACTTCCATTGATCCCACAAGAATCGTGAGGGTTGCACTACATCGGGAGATCTCTCCGGCCACAGACTAATTACAATCCTTTCTTGAATTTCCGTTAGTCCACAATTCCTGCATCATAAAAACTCCTTGGAAGTGATGCTATCAGAACAAAGTGAAAAACTTTTAAAGATGTGCAGTGTGCTATCAGTTAACAGAAATAGCATCTGATACTAAAAGGTTCCATTCTACAAAAAAATTATTTGTTAAGGTCCACTATTCGAAATTGTACCCTGCCGGGCTGTGCCATGCAGGATTGCGAGGCCAATAAAACAGATATACTACTTTTTTTGTTATTTAAGGTCGCATCAACTTCTAGGTCATTAGCGACCACTATTGCATGTAACGGTATGGTAACTGTGAATGTGACATGATATGATGATGATGATGATGATAGGGAGTTAAAGGACGAACACAATACAACCATGCACAAGGCGGGACTCGAACCCGTGATCGTCCGGGTACATTTACATTATTTTTCTTTAGGTCTAAACCGGCAGGTTCTATTAACATTAATATATAACATTCTAATAGGTTGTTTCCAAGCTATCTAAACCGCGGAGGCCAAGGCCTACCGCGGCTATCACGTAAGGGTGGCTAAGGCACTCACGAACGTTGTGATAATTTACAAACGCAGGAAATATTACCTTCCTCGAGGCTCACTCGATGCGGAGATAATTTCCGAAGTTCAATTGAACTTGTCAACTGAGCCTTCACGTAAGTGTCTGAACTCGAAGCGCACCGGTCGTTAATGTGTGCAGTCTAGGCGCTCTCCTAGTGAATCTATCATATCTAGTAGAGTTATATCAGTTGCCTGGTACAAACCGGACAAAATATTAGCCACGTGCATTTCATGGACATGAAAACATGGTGCATCACACCGAATAAGATATCAAATTATCAAGGCCAGCGGTTGTGGTGACCAGGAACATTCCTTCTAATAACGGGTCAATCTTGTTTATTGTAATTATTGTAAATAGTATTCACGTGTTGAAGCATATTTCGAATAAAACTCAATAAATTACAAACCGTTCGTCTGTGAATTATTGCCCCGGCAAAGACGCCATAATCTCAGCCTCCCTTACCGGCCCTGCCCCTCGAAAATATCTTAATTTTCGTACATTTCAAAAGTATAATTTTTTCCGTGATATTCGCCTGCGTCTTAATTATTAAATGTAGATTCGTTTTCCTGCATGCAAACGACTTGACTACATTAACATTCCCAACATGGTCCGCAGACAAAAAAACCGCAACAATTTGCCTGTGTCTTCTTGCTTTAACAACTATCAGTTGGCTTGCAACCAGGTATTCACGTCAATACCTTCATTTTAGCCACCCTGAAATGTTAGCAAATGTCAAAAACTCAGAAGGGTGAACATCGCAAAATTATTTACTTTCGTCTGCCACAATTAATATTTCAAGGTTTCTTGATTATCAATTCAGCGACGTTGTCTGGAACAGAAGCAAACGTATCAATCACGTCTTTGATTTTGAATGATTATCCTTGATTAAATTAAGATCCGGATTTATAAGCGCTGGATAAACGAAGTTTCTTCACAATTTTCCCAATTTTTTTTCTTTTAAGCGCTTTTTGTATTGTGATGCCCGTTTTACATTTTAATTGCATTTATCCCTAGTTATATTCAGTTTTAACTTCATGACCTTCAGAGAAATCTGAACTTGATAATATATTTATGTGCAAGACAGGTTGATCAAGCTTGATAGAATCAAAAGATCTAAAATGATTCTTTTATTTGGAATCAATTGTTTGTTGCTCATTCAAAGAATAATTTGAAAGTCATTTTCGAGTTGAGCATATTCTTTGACACGGTTTTTTTTATTTACCTCTAATTTATTTACAGAACCAATTTGAAATGTACGAAGTGGTACTCTCCCCTGATTCTCTTCTACAAAGAATATTGGTGTCGCCAGCGAAGAGAAAAAAGTTTATATTCCTGGCCGAAGAGCATGTATCATTTACATAAAGAAGGAAAAAAGACAGACCCCAAGATATATCCTTAACTCGAAATAGAACTGACACGGAAGCTGAACAGATGTAAGTAAGATTATCCGGTGCAATAAAGGTAAAATTATTTCGTGAATAGTAGATAAAGTACGACAATATACAAATGTGACCAGTTGGTCACTAGAAAAGCTCTTTTTGGAAGGAAAAATGTCAGATTAATTGCCTTAGAGATGGTTAATAACATACCCATAGGATAGTTGCTGGTTAATGAGAAAAGTAAATGTGGCTGTTTCTAATTAACTAAATTTTCGAGTTTGGATAGTATATGATTATTTTTTATGGACACATCTTTTTTTTAAATTGATGATTCCAACCTTGCATAAACTAATGATGCCATTGCAGCACATTCTTTCTTGTATTATTTGTAATGGTTATGTAATATTATAATATTGCAACTTGTATCCTCACCTACAAAAGAGTGACGTATATTCGAATTTGGACTTAAGTAATTTTTTCTACACTACATATAAATACTAGTATTTGAGAAAGTAAAAATTTGTACCAGACCGGTAAAAAATACTAACCAAAAAGAGATATGGAATGAAAAGTCTGTGCAGAAATCTGTATTTAACAACCATTATAGAGGCAATACGTGAATGAAATTTAAATTATGATATTGAACCTATAATTATTATAAGATGTCACCGTCCTGAAAGAAAATTTACAGAAAAAGTATGGACTGGGATGGAACGTTAATTTATGGTTTTATCTTTTTAAAAGAACTATCTTCTACGGTACGCCTATTATTTGTATTCTTAGCCACATTCCACATTGCTAAAGAGTTGTTAATAGATTTCCAAACATCCCTAATATTAAACTCGGCGGTTGTTTTCCTCCCGTTGTATTACAATCCCTATTATTCTCAGTTATATTGCTTCAACTTTAATTTCCTGGAGAACACACTTTTATTTGCGGAAATCCATTTGAGAGTCAGTGTTTTTTTCTGAAAGTCATAACCTCCGGGCGCCAAATTCAAACTGAATGCCACATCGCCGGCGCGGCATATTATACCCATGGTATGTGGTGGCGTAACAATAGACACAACCGAACCTTAAAAGAATTAACAAAACTCCTGGAATGTTAGAGTGAACTGTTGTTTTGTGGTTTAGAGAGCCAAATACAATAAATGATAGTCCCCTGTTGTTTTTAACCTTTATATCCTGATATATGCTAATATTGTTTTGCTCCGAAAATGTTCGTTCTTTTCATTATTATATTTATTGATTAATTCAATGTGAGCAGTTCAAACTGATGTTTCTGCGAGTCATTTTGTGCAGCTCTAGCAAACGATAGATTGTTTAGATAGCCCGATAATGGATTGTACACGAAATAGTATGTGGGTTTTCTTCCCCTCAGACGTGGAAATTGTTCCTTCATGAAAATTACCTCTCACTCAAACAAAAATATTTTGGGCGAGTGGCTGTTTGATGATCATCCTTAAAATAACCTGCAAATTATTATTGCTTAGGGATAC